ATGCTTCTAGGCAGAGAAAGACACATGTCCGTAATCTTGAACTCTTGACAATGATTCTCTTGTTTCGTTATGTGGCTGAAGTTGGCTTTCATTTTCCATTCTTCGATCTCACTGCTGTGCATCGGGTGCCAGATAGGCCACCAAGATGGAAGGCGCCGAGAACCTACCTACGACGCACCTCGAACTCATTGTTGTCTCGATCTGCATGGTTATGTTTAGCACCGTTTTCGCTGGTTGGCGAATAACGATCAGGTTCAAAGCATCTCCGTGGATGCGAGCGAGCGACTGGTTGATGATTCTCGGAGCAGTAAGTGAGCAAAAAGCCTAGGTCGAAGTTCATGCGTAGCTAACCAACTCGTACAGGCGATGAACAACTCCGCTATGGCCGTTTCCATCGTTTCCGCCTTTCACGGTGCGGGCCGTCTTTTGAGCGATCCGTTTTGGCAGCCGAATACACTGGAGAAGATGGTCTACCAGAACCGTCTCGTCTTTGCGAGCCAGCTCCTCAATGTTTATGCTATGTGGATTGTGAAGCTTTCCATTTGCACATACCTCCTGGCACTCAATTTCTCAAAGGGATACCGTTGGGTCATATGGGTGAGTGCACTACGACTATATTTGACATGACCCAAGCGCTGACATCAATCGGCTCCGACAGGCGACGATCGTTTTCGTCACTATCTTCAATTTCCTACTACCCGTGATACAGCACTTTGGTCTTTGTCGTCCTCTCGCGTCGAGATGGGACATACGTATTACCGACAAAGAGTGCTGGTCGCCGGTAGTGCGGATAGGTATTGCATATACCCAAGCCATTTCCAACATCATCACGGACTTGGTGTATGCGACAGCACCGATCGCATATCTCCGGTCTTTCCGGCTCAGTAACCGTACGCAGTGGAGTGTGCGGGCTGTCTTTCTTATGTCTTTAGTGTAATTCCCTCGACTCCATGATAGCCAAGAGCAAAGACTAACGAGCAACAGGTGTACAGCCATATCCGTCATGAAGCTTTGGGATTTCCAGCGGCTTCAGGGTATGAAAGAGGCTTACTACGAGTCGGTTACACTTTCTATTTGGTCGATGACGGAAGTTTCCGTGGGCATCGTGGTTGCCAACCTACCGCCGCTGCGCAAATCTTTCGACAGCCTTCTCATTCACGTTCTCCCCAAGTCATCGAATGACAAATCGGCTTCAACTAGATTCCAGAGCTTTCATCTACCAACGTACCATAGGCATCTCGACCCCAGAGCTATAACCGAAGGCATGGCGGGCCGAAGCGCGAGACGGCCCTCCATGACTACGATTCCAGGGGACCATGAGAGCGACAAGGCGATCCTGGAAGATGTTCGATCAAGAAAGAGTAAAGACGGCCATCACATATTGTGCACGACACACATCAGCGTGGAAAAAGGTCATCGAGGAGCTTAGACTATTACGAAACCACAAAGGTCAAACGTCATTATCAGGCTATATATTGTTGGCTCTTTGGATCGTGTTTGGAGACGCTTAAACGATTCATTGTCACGATCTCGTCATAGTCTATATACTAGCCGTCGCGCACGTCCGACCCTCGTTTGCAGTTAGCAGGCCACGGATGGCTCTCAAATGCGCAGCACCTTGCACCTTTTCCCTGATACCATATTCCATACGCTCATACACTATTTCCAGCCGCTTACTCTGTCTGTTCCTGCTCCTGCAAGTCCTGTACCCTCCTGTCGGCCTCAGCATCAGCTCCCTTCTTACTCACAACAGCCTGCGCAATCCACGTGCTGACGAGCACCACCGCGCAGACCAAAGTGGGAATCAACATCCTCCTGCTCGCCTGCGCTTCACTGCATATTTGTTGGCTGTGATCATCGTATCCCCTGGAAAGCATCTCGAATATACTGCAAGCAGCTAGTTCGCGCGTGCAGTCGAAATACGGGTTGTAATACGAGTATGCAGCACTTGGTACGCAGGCCTCGCGTTCCAGACGTTTCTTGGTCTCGAAGGTTATGATGGTGGATGTAAGTGACATGGCGAATGCGGCGAGGCCGAAGAAGATTGAGCAGGCTAGTACCCAGGGGAAGCGTGAGCCAGCGGTCTTGGGGTTCTGGAGCAGTTGTCAGCAGGGCCTCTAGAGGTTGGAGGTAGTTAGGCATACCTTCTCCTTCATCATCATGAACGCCACCGTCAGCCATCCCACGACTCCGGCAACCAACCCAACACAACCGCTCACCAAGACCCAGATGTCGTTGCTCGTCACATATTGCATGTAGACTTTGTTGAAGTCTCTGTTTCCGGCGTCATACTCCTCCCAGTACGCCCTGCGTGCGGGTGAGCCGACGGGTCCGTAATACGTGTAACTGCCTTCTGGATAGCTGGCGTCCATCGACTCGCTGTAGTGTGTGACGAGGGCGACCGTTGCAATCGAGAGAGCGACCAGGGTTGTCGATGCCAGGAGGGATGTGGCTTGCAAGGCCTTGGACAGGATCGACGAGCTCATGGCTGTATCGTATACAGTAGCGTTGAGATGGAGATGTGATAGATAACTTGGAAAGGGTAGAGGTCGGAGTGGAAGGATGATTGCGATATGAAGCGCAAGGCTTGCAGCCCACGACTACTATATACAACCACGATAAAGCCGGGCGGGGTAGCTTTCACCGCGTTACTCCACCTGTACGCCGGAACGGGACCCGAGTAAGACATGCTTGATCGCACGACTGCGCCTCCGTCAGGCATCCCACGTCCGACTTCTACGACCTCAACCCCACCGCCAAGCCTGTGCAGCGCATGCGATGAAGGAAGAATGCGCAGACATCATTCGCGCGGATACACTTGGTGCTGCAGTGTATTGGAGTGGAGTCTAGGCAGATCCTGACGTCGTCATAGCGACTACGCCGGGCACAAGTTGCGACGTTGCATCTTTGCCAATGGTGCCTGGACCCGAGTTCGCTACCAACGCCACGAACGGTTACTTCGACAACGAAAGATTGACTTGTTCTTTTCCTTGCTCTTGTACTCGGCTCTACAGTCGCTTTTACTTCGTACAGTCTATGTGTCGGATTGGAGAATTCTGCCTTGGGGTTGACCTTACAACAATGTGCATTGCAACGAACACGGTCCAATTTGTTGATCAACATTGGACCTCTTATTGATTAGCTTCGCATTCCTTTCCTATCATCCCTTCCATACTTCATCCATCTCAGTATTCATCATCATACCTCTGCTCGTCCCTCCCCTCATCATACGCATTCTCCATATTATCACCAAACTGCTCCACACCCTCCGTCATATTATCCCACCTGTTCTCGATATCCTGCGGTATATCCTCCACAGCCTGAACCTTCTCGCCCGTCCACTCCGCTGCGTTTTCGGGGAAGTCTTCCACGTCCTGGACGCCGTTATCCCATTTCTGCTCGACATCGTCGCCAAAGTTCTCGGCGCGTCCGACTTGCTCGCCGGTCCAGCCCGCTGCGTTCTCGGGGAAGTTGCTGACGTCGTTTCCGAATTCGTCGACGCCGTTGGATACGTTGGCTTTGGCGCTGTCCCAGCCGTCTTCTGCGATGGGGTGTTAGCGATGATGTAGGTAAGCTGGGTGAGTGGAGGGATACGTACCGATCTTGTCACTCTCGTGCATCAGCAGTGCGCCGCCTGCAACACCTGCGACACCGGCTGCGGCGTACTTCCAGCCATTACCGCCGCTCTTCTCTTCTTGCTGCTGACCACTGCGAGTCGGGTCGTATGCGCTCTGTTGGTATGCGCCCTGATTGCTGTACCCATCCTGGCCGTAACCATATCCACCTTGTGGCGGTGGAGCGCCGTAGTTGCCCTGTTGTTGCGCGTAGCCGGGTCCGGGGTACTGGAAAGTTCGCTCGCCGTTCTGCTGGTTCACAAAGACCCAACGGTTCTCGCGTTGATCCCACTCAGCATACCATGGTGATGAGACTGGTGGTGGTTGCTGAGAGTGCTGTGGGGGAGGGTACTGTGAGTAACCCTGTTGCTGTTGTTGAGGTGGGTATTGGCCATAGCCTGACTGCTGCTGTTGCTGTTGCTGTTGATCTTGCTTGCCAGAGCTGGTGAAGTCGGAGATCAATTCGCTGAGGAAACCCATGATGAGTATGCTGTGGCTGTTAGGTAGAGTGAGAAGTTAGTGGAAGTTGTATGAGGACTGTCAATGTGGATGGAGGTGGGGTGAGGTATTTATTCAATGATCTACTTATGCCCCTCTTACGCATCAATCGGTCCACTACATCTGCAGCTAGATCTGTTCGAGATGGCCCACGATGCGTAGCAAATGCGAACGGCCGGACCTTTGAAACGTGGCGCAATCTCGGTGAGGCGGTGAGGCGGTGCCGCTCTCTCCGTATTCGGCAAAAAGCAGCCACAATGGCCAGCAACGAGAAGTCGCTACAAACACGTCCGCTCCAATTCCATCGAATTCAATTCTGAGCATGTCGAACGCCAACAAAACCAGCCTTTTGGATGAGGTGGTCGGCATTCCTTCGCAGGATGTCAAGCTTCTTTAAGCTTTACTTGGCACGCGGATGGTCCCTCCCGGATGAGCTAGGCTCTGACAGCCCCACTTAAGCGATGGTTTTGAGGCGCAGTTCAGGGGCATTTAATGACGCGACGCGTTGCGCTGCGCCACCCGGCTGAGATGACGATGAAAAGCAAAGTGCGAGTCCGATACTACAAAACTCAGCTACGCAGGGATACGTATGTATTGAACGCTCTGATTATCCCATCAAAGTAAACCACCGAAAACTTTCACGGTTGCCTCTGACAACATGCGATATTGAAAGACAGAGGCTTAGAAAGCTACATCGGCGGCCGAGGAGTTCATGAGTTTGACTTAGTATCGATGGAGATTGCGCCCGCTCGTTCAGTTATTTCCTTGCATTACATGCCACTGCCGATTTAGTCGGACACATTGTCAGATCCCTCATCAGATCTCCCATCAGACTCCTAGTCGAATTCCTCGTCAGATCCCTCGTCAGATCCCTCGTCAGATCCCTCGTCAGATACCATCGGACTCTTCGTCTGTATCAAGCCCCAGTGCAGCGTCATTCCAGGGAGCCCATGCGCCCCGTTCGTCGAACCGCCAATTCTCGCACCATCGCGGAAACCCATCACGCCAGAAGATGTAGTACTCTCCAAAACTGTAGACGATTTCTAGGCTCTTTTCAATTTTCATGTCTTTCTTCTCGCTCGTCCAAAATTCGAAGTAGTCAATAATGCTTGCGGGCAGTTGCTGGCCACTGAGTTCGAGATACACAAGCTTCGGTGGCCATGATCCGTCCTCAAGCGTCTTTCTCCTTAGGATGTTTGGTCGATCGCGAGTGGTGGTCAGAGTGATGGTTCGTATATCATCGCATTCCAGCAACGCCGAAAGCGTGAGGTCGGAAACTTTTGGGGCACCATCGATGCGCACATGCTTCAAATTCGGCAGCGCTTCAACCATGGCTGCAACCACATCGTCTGTAATCTCTAGGGCCTCTTCGCGCAGGGGATCGCCAAGATATATCATCTGGATATATTTTCGAAACTCCAGTGGAGCTTCGGTGATGTCCCTTAGCATCCGGCTGTGATTTTCGGTCAGCGGAACGTGCATGCAACGCTGTGAGAAAGATTACCAACTTCGTGACATGAACACAGCGCGGAAAATACACCATCTCTATCCATCTATGATCGAGTATTGCTTCCTCCAAGTCCTCCGCTGAGTGTATTATTGCCGCAAAACGCCCAAGGGGATGCCGGCGCGTTGGCATATCGGGGCCAATCCGTCGACGTTGCTCCTCGAACCACAAGTACGTTCCGCGGTCACACCCGTCCCAGACTACCGGCCACTTGCGCTTTCGTGGATATTGCATGTGTTTGAACCATCTAACCTTACCTAGGTAGTGACGACTTTTTGGATACCCGCGGACATAATCCCCGGAGGTTCCATTCTGTGACATGATTACGACGGGTGTGGTGCGAACAAAGAAACGACAGCATGAGATGGAGAAGCGAGCCGCGGCCAATGGCGGTGGAGCCGATCGACACGCAACATTTTGACCACGTGACCATGCGACAACGACCACGCCATTATCCCAAAGCGACAAGAAACAGCCTCAAAACAACTCGACACGCTGGTCGGACGAACCTAAAGTCTGCACACTGGTCTGAAAAGCGACCTTGCAACCTTAAGAAATGCTTCATCGTATTATGGTCCAAAGTCAGCGCGAGGGCGGAATGGATGAACATCAGGCGGCATTCCACAGCCACCGAGGGCGGTCCTTGCTAATCAATTCTCAATACCCTTTTCCACAGTGACAGACTCAAGACGGGCCAGCAGCCATGAGCAAGTTTTAGACAAAAGCGCGCGACCCTCTGACGTGTTTCGTCGCCTTCACCTCGACTTTGGTCGGCCTACTTTACCGCAGATTCTTCTTATACCTATAGTCAGTAGCTTGTTGTATCGCAATCTCTCTCAAAACTCTTCTCCTCAACATCCTACTCTGCGCATCCCTTACACTACTTTCTTGATCGCGTTCAAGTTCCTCAAACACTTCAATATCATCATGAAGCTCCTCGCGATCTTCCTCCTTGCCCTCATGGGCTTCCTCGAGATCGCCTCAGGCGCCGTTATCACTGGCGTTTCCGACGATCTCACCGGATCTGCCGTCGCTGGAGACTGCCATAACGGCGACGAGAAGTGCTCTATCCTCCCAATCATCCTTCTCGGCCGCCACTCCATCAAGCGCTGCATCAACCACAACTGGGTTGACGTCGAGATCTGCAACGTCGGGGCCATCTGTACCTCAGACCCTTCACCTCACTGTACCCTCGCGACCATCGATGGTGAGATCGCTGACAAGGACAAGACCTCTGCTGTCGCCGCCAACGAGATTACATCCAGGCAACAGGTCTGTCTTGAAGGCACTCAGCAGTGCGCCTACCTCGATCCGATCAAGCGGCACATCATTCAACGCTGCTATGGCCGCAAGTGGGTTAACACCAAGGTCTGCGAAGCCACCGAGACCTGTGTCGGTGGAGCTGCGCCCCAGTGTGTCGCTCAGACCGTTTCGTCTCGCGACGAGGACGCCGATGAAGAGAACACCGACGAAGACAACATCGACGCCGTAAGTCCCTCTTCCACCCCCTCCTAGTCTAACCCGTGTATACTAACAAACCCCAGGACCTCGCCAACAAAACCGACCTCCCCTGCACAAAATGTAAGAGGATGCGCGATGATTGCTTCAGAGTGGGTCAAGCCCACCACTCCCCACTCCCCAGCGCCCTCTACTCCTCGCAGTGACTAACAGTACCCCAGAACCATCGCTGCAGAACAACCTACTGCCGCCACGAATGCCTCAACAGGATGAAGAGGTATCTGGTTGAAGACGGTCGGCACGGACGGTATCGCGGTACTTGTCAGGACTACTGCCCCCAATTGTGTCGGTGATGCGGTGAGCTGGTCCTTGGTGGGTTTTGCGGTTGCGTATCGACGAACATACCGTTGGCATGAAGGGTTCGATGATTGGTCTTAGGATTGAGGGTTGAAAACGATGGTATGGCTGAAGCAGACGTATACCGTAGTATAGCTAGTTCATGTCGCGTAATGCGAAAAGACTCAGCTTCTCGTCCTTCTCTTCATTGAAATCTTTGACATCTCTACACCGAAGCTAAATGATACCTCTGCTAGACACCCATTTTACACGAACAAGATCCCAACGACCTTCCGACGTATCATGCACGAAACAGCCCTCTCATTACCAACCCACTCGCGCCAACTTTTCTGGGGTATCTAACCTAATCAAACACCACCTTCTTCCCAGCCGCAGGCCCCTTACCCCCAAGATCAATCTTCAACTTCTTGCTCTCCTTCGCCAACTTCGCCGCCTGCCAACTAGGATGCAACTCACCCTTATCGTCCCTCTTAACACCCAGCCCCATCTTCCTATCCTTCTTATCATCCTTCCTGCCCAACGGCTCCGCATTACTTCCACTCTGCTGCACGCCTCGGCCACCCAGCGGCTTGCCTCGTCGTTGTCGCTTGTCGCCACCGGCAACGGCGCCTCGTTTGGGATCGAATTTCACATTCTGCTGTTGTTTCTCGAGATGTTTGGCTTTGGCGCCGAATTTCGCTTCGGCGATCTTTTGGCGCGCGCGTTGGCCGCGTCGGTTCTTGCGCGGTGCGTTGTCGGCGTCTAGGTCGGAGGCTTCGGATTCGGAGCCGGAGAAGTAGGCGGCGTGGCTGAGGGCGGGGAGGAAGGCGGAGGAGGTGGGCTTTTCAAGGACGGCTTTGGTTTTGGTCTTCTTTGTGGGTATGGCGGCTTCGTCAGAGGAGGAGTCGGAGTCTGAGGCTGACTCGGCGGACTCGTCGGAGGCAGGGGCTACTGATCGCGAGATGGCTACGGTGTCGCTGTTCTCTTCTTCGTCGTTGCTCGTGTCGTCTGGTTGTGCAACTTCTTCCGTTTCGTCCTCGCTGTCGCTCGCAGCTTCCAGATCGGCGTCAGGGTCGTGTTCGCTTTCGCTGTCCGCGATACTAGGCGGTCGCTCGTCGCCGGATACCGAGCCTTCGTTGTCTTCTTCTCCCGAGGATGGCTCAGCTATCCGCGCGCTGAAGGCCATATACGGGTCGTCCGCCTCGTCGCTCGCGTCCTTCATCTCCACGTCGTCCTTGTCAGCAGCCTTCACCCTCTGCGCCTTCCTCGCCATCTTCTCTTCCTTGTGCTTCTTCATCTCCTCTGTCGTGTATTCCTTAACGATCTCCTCCACCTTTTCGTTGTCCTTTGCTTTGTCTACCCCAAGTATGCCCTTCAGGTCCTCGATAACCTGATCCACGGCCTTCTTCACCTGTACGACTTTGAACATTCTCGCGGTGACATTCAGTGTGCTGGTATCCTTGCTTCCTTCTCTGATGCCCGAGATGTATTCCTGTAGCGGCTCCGCATCCTTCAAGCTTTTGACCCGTGACAAAGTTTTGCGCAAATGCTGGTCGCCCAGCTGCTCCAAGTTGAGCGCCTTGAGGACATTGTACTCAGCGTTCAATCGAAACACTGCCTCTTTCTGTCCCTTCTTGGTCGCATACTTCTTTCTACGACTGTACTTCTGGCGCTCGAGCTGTGAAGCATGGCGCAGAGCTTGGAGGAGCGGCTTTTGCACATCGTCGAGGCGCTTTTGGCAGTACTTGGCTTGTTTCGCGGGGTTCATGATCACGGGAGGGGGAAGGTTCCCGGAGGCAGCGGTCGTCTCGCGCTTTCGTTTCGGCATCGTGGGCGTTGTTCGGCGGTGTTGCTGGTGTTGTTGGTGTCGGACTGCTGGTGGAAATTTTGGAGATGGGCGCGGCCTAATCGATAAGCCCGCGGCCACACCTTCCCCATGTGGCCGCCGCACCAACCTTCCTTCACTCTCACTCTTTCACGTCTTGTCACTGTCATCACACCACGCGCGCTTTCGGGTACTTCTTCATGATGCATTGCAGTCGTTTCGAAGAAGACATATCGACATGCATACTACAAAGAATACTAGTCATAGCGGCTTGAGCGCTCAGCGCGCCTTCCGCTCTCATCACCCATCCTCTTCATTCTATATCCATCACAGATTTTGTCATCATCATTATCATCTTCTTCTCCTTCGCGTCTGCTGCTGATTATAGAACCGCGTCTCTGGCATCCACGGGTGCTGAGGCGGTCCATTGTCAGGCGCACCTCCGCCCCGCCCGCCATCAGGAACAGCGGGTTCAGCATCAGCATACTCGCTTCGGCTCTGCCCTCGTGGCCGCTCACCAAACTCGGTCCGCCCTCCTGGCTGCACATGAGGATCCGCCTCTCCGGGTTGTGGGTCGCGGGCGTTGTTCATAGTGGGCACCTGTAGGAACTCGGGTCGCTGCTGCTGTTGCTGCTGCTACTGCTGCGGCGGCGGCGGCGGTGGCGGCGGTGGCGGCGGTTGAGCATTGCCCTGGCCTTGGCCCTGAAGTCTCGGACCTCAAGCTGGTGGTGCTTGGTTCGGTGCGTTATGAGCACGCTGCGGGGCAGGAGGGTTACCATTGTTGTTCCTATTGTTGTTGTTGCCAACAGGTACGAAGCCTGGCGGACCGCCGGCCGGGTTGTCTGTCTCATAGTCAGCTCTTTCCTATCGGTTCTGCTTACCACATGGCAGATTGTACGATTTGGCATTCCCATCATCTCTTCGCGCGGCCTGGAGTGTTTCGCTCTCTGGTCTATTTGATGAGCTCGCCGACTGTTACTCCACTCTTCCCAAATTGATGGGACATGCTTGCGTACCCAATACTTCTTCGTTCGTCCCATGGTGCTTGGTGAGAATACGTTGGGTATAGGAAGAAAAAAACAACCATGACGATCTCATACTGAGGGATAGTGACTGCTGAGAGCATGGAAGAAGAAGTACTGATCCAATACTGGATGCGGAAACATTTCACGGAATGCCACCTACCACGTCTTCCTGATTCGTTGCGGTATCGTCGCCGAGCAGCACCATATCGATAACCACCATAGCTCTCATCGCTGTCGTAACCGTAGTCGTACGCGTTCCTTCCGCGTCTTGGTTCTTCGTATCCAGGATATCCTCCATATGTAGGATACCCTCCGTATGCAGGGAATCCATCGTATGCGGAATATGAACCTGCTTATTTGGCAGTGAACTAGTAGGCTGTCCTGGATACCTTACCGAAGTGAATGGGAGGCGGCGTCCTACTTCCCCCCGAAGAGTCGCTTGAAGAAACCCATGCTGTTGACACTATAGACACAGGAATTCGATGATGTACAGAAGACGCACTAGTGGGATGTCGAAGCTGGCGTCGGTAGAAAGAGCTGCTGTTTAGGATCGTCGATGAGTGGAACAAGAATGCCTTGCGGCGGAGAAGCGCAGTGGCACTATATGGACCACGGCTGAAACGGTGAAGACGCGGCAAGCTTCAAATATCCTACTAACAATCACAGTTCTTCGTGACATCCTATCCATCGACGATACCCGTGATATAATGGAAACCAGCACAATCCACTCTACGCCAAACGCCTCCGAAATTGAACTGTATTGCGCGAACAACAAAACACAACGCCGCAGAATCCACGATCGCCCATGATAATAACAAGATGCCGAGAATGCCAGCACTCAAGATCCTTCCGCACACCCTCGCGCACCAAGTTGTAGCTATTAGCCAACCCTCTTGCCCGATACATAGTAGTCCTTGGTCTTGAACACCGATTTGATCGCGAATGTTGATCTTTCGTCATGTCTGTTCGCTGGAGGCTTGAACGTATTCTGGCGAACGAAGTCGGGCTTCTGCTCGGCTTCTTGTTTACGCTTCTCTTCGTATTTGCCAACGTAGCTTTCGGTAGCCTGCGAAGCTGCATTTTCCTGTATAGGCTTTTTCTTCTTGTGGACGACTAGGCTGTGTGTCTTGGTCTTCTTTGTAACGACTTTAGGGCGAACTTGGTATCCTTTCCCGGTATTCACGTTGTAGTTCACGACGTGTCCCTTCTCGGATTCCGGCTTCATATATGCGGTTACCATCGTGGTGATGTTCACGAGGGATTTCTTCGATGGATGTATCTGGGTCTTGGCTGATAGTGTAGATCGAGAAAGTGTTTCCAAGAAAAGTGGATATCGAATTAGGGGCTGTATGATGTGTTATGGAGAAAGATCGGGTACCCTCATGTGGCATTTAAAGGTACATGGAGCTGAGTGTGCGCTCTTCGCAGACGGTATGTGACATCGTGCATTCAATGGGTCGACATTGGATGGGCATGTTATTGACAGCATTGGCAGGCCGTGCGACATACGTCGTTCAGAAAGTTCACAGTCAGGGCACTCATGGCTGTTGCATGTATGCTATACTGGGGTCAACTTCAGTGACTGGCTTCAAGTTCTCTATTGATATGCCCCTTCCTATTGCAACCTTGAGTAACATACACGGCGATCTCGATCACAATGGCAGTGATGAGTAGCTTTTTACGCATCACACCGCACTACAATACGTGTTGACTTCGCGAAGTGCAAGATACTCGAGAAGCCGTCCAGAGCATGATATTGAAGGTGAGTTGGTTCCACATCAAACGAGATGCTCTGCATGACTAACGCAAAGTGACTCACAAGCCGGTCAACATACACATCGATGAGTCTACCTGATTACCAACTCTACGCTTTCCTCTACTTCGACATTCCCAGATGGCCCAGCACCTATTTTGCAACTCTCGTTCCTGCTTTACGCAACAGCATACGCCATATCATACTTGTTACACTTGAACCTTCAACCCCTTTAACCACCGATACCCATCAAGCCTAATTATCAAACCAACGGTCAGGGAACTCGCCATCATCGTACTTCGATTCGTATATTTCTGGTGGCTCTTCATACTTTCCCCCTAGGCGAGTTGTCCTCCTAGGCCGCTCCACTTTCTCACGTCGCTTATCCCGGGCCTTGGGCAAGCGACCGCTTTTCCGACTTTGCTCAAGTTCTTCGCCCAAATTTTTATACCCCGTTCCGTATTGAGGCGTAGGTGTCACGTACGGCGACGGATAACTTGCATCCGCAGTTTGATTGTATGATTGAGCGGTGGGCTTAGGATAGGTATATCGTGGGTCTGGGTATGGCGGGTGAGTATACTGCGGGGTTGGATATTGCGGCTGTACGTTTGGATAACCGTAGGCAGGGTAAGGCGGCTGCTGTTGTTGTCGATACTGGGGCGGATACGTATGTATATATGGCTGCGGGTCAGGCTGCGGGTACGGCTGCGGGTAAGATTGCTGGTACCGTCCCCCTCGCTGATACTGCTGCTGAGGTTGTTGCTGTTGCCGCTGCCACTCTTGGTACTTCTCACGATACTGCTGCTGTTTCTGCTGATCTTGGGAGCCAGATGCGCGTCCCGCCTCGCCGACCTCCGAAAGGTCCGGGAGAACTACAGTCACATCATCGCTGCCAACATACGAACGAACATCGATGTCGGGTTTCTTCTTGCGTCTCGATGACCGACGACGTGTAGCATCTTCCGAAGCTTCGGCGGTATGAAGGGCGTTGTCATGGTACACTACCAGCGCGTTGTCTGCGCCTGGTCGGAGTGCTCGGATGGTTTTAGTACTTGATACCGAGCTACTGCGATGCGTGGAAACAGATCTGCTGCGTTCGGAACGAGATTGACTTTTAGTTTTGGCTTCTTCGTGCTCATCGTAAGTTGCTCTCACTTCCGCTGACTCATCGTAGGAACCTCTAGTGCGAGATGCAGTGCTGCGACCACGGTCATCACGAGACAATTTTCGACTACTTTTAGAACTGCTTACTTTACTCAAAGCTCGCTTCGAAGTTGGCGCGCGTTCGCTACTGGACTCATGGTCATCCAGTTCGATATGACTCCTGGCTTTCGGCGCGATGCTACCGCCTCGCTCACTCCGACTAGGTTTGATACTCGAGGCTCGCTTCGAGGTCGACTTGCTTTGGATTCTCGGCTCGGAGTCTTCCTCGCGCGCATGTCTTCTGGCTGTCGACGCGATGCTGATATCCCGCTCATTGCAACCCGATTTGATACGGCTCTTGGTGCTTGCAGCAACACTTGTCGCTCGTTCGCGAACTGGGGCGGCATAATTTTGATCGCAATGGACGACACTTGGTCTGCGGCTTCTCACACTGCTTTCCGCTACGTTTGAACTATTGCCGACCTTAGATATGGCATACACTTCCTCGGCGCGGCGCCGCTCGGCACTGGGGATGCTGACAGTATGTTCGCTTCGAATGCTTGGTGTCACACTAGCGGCGCGCGATACTGGAGGTTGCGAAGATGGAGCTCGTAAAGCCAGGGCTCGCGAAGATGAGGCTCGAGAAGGATCACGCGAGTGGCTCTCTTGCAGGTATCCTGATGAATCTTCGATAACGCTAAGTTCGGTGGGTGCGACACTTGGGCTCCTAGATCCGGATGCCGACAGCAGAAGACGGTCCTCTCTCACCGTACTTCGGCCGGCACTAACAACACTCTGCGAACGAGAAGGCTGAGGACTCTGAACTTCGCTTGGAACTCGCGAGACAGACAAAGGCGGGTGCTGCATAGATGCCCCACTTGAAGCGACGCTGATAACGCTTGGGGCGCGATAATTCTGGACTCTTGACCCAGTCAAAGGTGGGTGACTTTCAGGGACCCGACTTTGAACAGCGGATATGACACTCGAGGTACGAGAGCTATCTCTTGGCGCTGGCAAAGCCGGGTACTTTCCAGATGCCGTGCTCGGAGTGACGCTTACTTCACTCGATACGCGAGATCTTTCTCTCGGCGCGGGCAAAAGCAGAGGGCTCTCGGGGGCCGTACTCGTGGCAACTCTTGCAGCGCTTGAAGCGTAGGAGCTATTCGTAACTTGGGGCGGTATCGAAACAGCTTGTGGAGGATGTGGGTGGTAATTTCCAGGTGCGCTATGTGGCGTGGCACTACCTGTACTCGCATGACTCTTAGCAGCGCTGACTACGCTCGCAGCAGGGGTGCTATGAGTAATATGAGCGATACTTGGGGTACGCGACGGGGTTGTGGTGTTTGCGTTTGTTATCGCAGGATTTCGAGTGCTGCTAACAGCGCTCACAGGATATTGACTGTAAGCCACGTTCCCGAGTAGGGGCCGTGAATAGTGCCTCTCTTGGATATCGCTCGGTGCCACGCTTGTCAAACTCGTGCTATGTAAGCGCGCTGTCGATAGAGGCCCCGGGGTGCCTGATACTGGTCCGATGGCTGCAGGTTGGCTTGGCCTGCCATTCGTGGCATTCTGACCTCCTCTTCCTCGCTCCCTGGCAACCTGTTCCTGGTACTGGCTCGATCCTCCCTGGATAGGCTTCTGACTCAGACCTTGAGAACGCTTGAGAGTGCGGTCCTCGGGGTTGCGGCTATTTCTGTGTTCGCGGATCCAGAACTTCTTCTCAGGGTGGGCATTCGTCGCGGAGAAGCTCATTTCTATTTCAGCAACGGCTCGTACTTCGCAGACCGTCTTTGGATGAGAATTGTTGGGGAAGTGATATCGTAGTTTACGTGAGGAGTGGTGGAGTTTCTCGTGGCATACTTACTGGGCTACATGTGAATTGTCATCATTGAAGATACCCCAGGTCATAGAAACCCATGACCGCTTGGAACCACTGCATCAATACAAATAGCTGACAGCGTCGACATTTTAGTCAGTAGAGGAAGACTCACGCGTGACAGAAGTGACCCGTGAATCATACTACGTGCTAAGTATGAGTAACAACCACGAGATTCCTTTGAGCATGCGTGGAACTTGACCAAGCTACGGCTCCTACCGTCATTCATCTCCAGCATTTCTATCACCTGTAGCCACAAAGTGACATGGTTTGCCGGTATCATCAAGTCTCATTTGAACTTTCGCGGACGAACTCAAGGGGGCATGCGACACGCGCCATTGCAGACATCCACGTTCAAAGTCTACTCTGACATGTTTAGATCAATGGTACAAGATTCTGTCTTCTCTAATACAGCAATCAAATATTCCACTAAGTTCACTCTTCACTCTAATTCCTCTCCCAGCTCGGATACATATGTACGGTCTTGAACTTTTCCTGGCCTTGAGTATACAAACTCTCCTCGGTCGGGACGTACTTTGGAATCCCATTCCTGCCTATCGTTGAGCCGGCCCTTTTCTCCGCCTTTGCTCTCCTCCAGTGCTCTTCGCCCACACTGATTGCCGGATCTGTGGGCCAAATCTCATCGCTGTCGTAGCCTCCATCGAACTCTGCATCGTACTCCTCGTATTGCTCGTGCTTCCTATAGCCATGAGAGGACGAGGCATGACTCGCGCCTGGATCCTCTGATCGATGGCGAGAGCTATAGTTCCGGCTGTTGTCGTTTCTTGGGGCCTTATCGCTGCGGTCGTGACGCCTTTGACGGCTCTTGCTGCTTCCTGCTACGCCGCTATCCCGCTGGGTGGACGTATAGTGGCCTCGTCGTGAGCTACTATGATCAGAATCTGTTGCGAACTTGGTCCATGTACCACCCGAGAGCGGTGGCATAGGTGCTTCAGGATACATTGGCCGTTCGATCGATACGCGGCTTGATGACTTGCGCTTATCCGACCCGCGGTCTCTCGTTGTCTTCTCAGAGGAGCTTTTGGGAAGTTTTGACTTCTTTCCCTCCGCTGGGGCTTTATGGTAGGCTTTCTTCCGGGAGGGAAATAGGCCTGAAAGCATGGTGTTTGATGAATGCAACGCTTCCAGATGCAGATATGACGGTAGATGTATGGTCGATGATTGAGGGGTCTTATCAATATTTTTGACGAGCTTGCAGGCAGGGGAGAACGTTGTATTTTATCGCCAGCACATGTGAAGTAACTTCTCGCACTCCAAGTGCATGCTCCAATGGGCAAGCAGTAAGTTCTTTGAGTCATGGATGGAGTCACACATGGAGTCATATTTGGAGTCATCTATGGAATTATTCATGGAGTAAGTCATAAATGGATGTCGTGGCCAAATTGATGTGCAACTATCCCGTCACTAAAGGCTAGAAGAATACGGTAAACTGTCACAACAAAGTCGCACAGATAACGATTAATGGAGGCTATCAAACAATTCAAGATGCCTAGGTAGGCTTCTATCACTAATGAACTTTGAACCGGTTCCAAGGGTGGAATAAAACCGTGACACGAACATCATTCACCATTTAAGAGCATTTGCCGCGAAGAAGCGAGAGGTCTGGCTTGCTAATTTCAGAACCTGATTGTGGAAACCGCAAGTGGTATTCATGCATGATCACTACCAGCAAAGATGTCTTTGTTTTGGAGTGAATTTGGCAGATCTTACTATCGACGCCCACGCCTCTTGCCACCGCCGAAGCCAGCACCAAAGCCCACACCGGGAATATCAGGGCCCATACCACCAGGTACACGCATACTAGGAGGTACACGCATACCAGCCCCACCTCCAAAACCTCCAGCTCCATCCACTGGCTCGCCTATTCCTTGAGGCATTCCACGTTCTACATTTCCATAACAATCGTTGTCGTCATCGTCATCATCATCATCAAACATTCCCCCCATATTGCGGCGTTCGCCCACCCCGTGGAGGCGAGGCGGTTTGAAGAGCTTGGCCCACTGATCAGCGTAGACTTTCTCCCACTCTTCAGCATCACCATATGCTTCTGTCAGCAACTCGTAGTATTCCGCTTGCGCCGATATTCGGTCTCTTTTGGTGACCCGACGGTTAAGAAGACTGTTGAACAAATCGTTGGACCGATATCGACTGAAGATATACGCCTCCAACTCGCTGGGCGGCTGGACGAAACGTTGTGCCCGGTCGGCTGGCATTGGCTCAAGGCCATGGTCTTTTCTGTGCTCATTGTGCCTCGCAAGTAACCTGTTTCTCTCTTTTACCCACGCCTGGGCTGTCTCTCTCTTCTCTTCGTCCGTGGGGAAAAGATGACTTTTGGCTTGTGCCCTTCCGAAGGAATTACGTCCACCCCAGGGCGGATACATGTTTTCAAGTAAGAGGTATGGGTTTGTGGTGATCCTGTCAAGCCGGAATTGTTGCTAAGTAGCTGTTTCGCTGTAGATCGATGCAGAAGAGGGTATCGTGGGGATTTGCACTAACAATGGGAGAGAGATGTTTTATACGAAGCAGCTATGACTTGTGATTGTGAAGAATGATCATGTGCTGGTGATGAGGCGTGAAGTGACGCCACGTACACTGCTGCGCTCGTCAGCTGGACCAAATGCCACAAACGCCATCAATATCCGATCGCTGTGACAATGCTCATTTATTAATCACGGGTCCGATTGAGTGATGCCACATAGACGTTGCGTAGGGAGCCGCCCACCTCAAACATACAGCCCATGTCTTAGACTTCGTGCAAATGAATGTGATCAGGAAAACAGATAGAAGCCATTAACTTTACTGACTAAATGTGCGTAAAGATGCGTTTGTCATACTATCTCAGCAAGTTCTAGTACTGCTACCGCCGATGTCTCCGACATCTCCCATCTCTGCTCGCCACCCCGACATCAAACCCATCAAGCTCCCCTCAATCATGCATGTTCCAAGCAGAAGCCTTCCCACCTCCAGCGGGCCAACGCGGGCCACGCCCACCCTCTTGACCTCTTCCCCCTCCTCCTCTACTGTTGTCACCCCGCTCAACGCTATGGTCTGGAACAGGTGGGTCGCCACGGCCCATACCCCCTAGTTCCGGCCATCCTGGGTTACGTCTTCCTCCGCGACGACGACCCATGGGCATAAATCCCAAAGCGCGAGGATCATCAGCCATGCCAGCAAATCCGTGGTCTCCAAGGCGAAAATGCCCTGGACCAAGTGACTCGTCGCGAGACCTGCCACTCGCTTCCAACTGAGCCCTGAGTGTTGGTGGTAAAGGTTTGTCGTTGAGTCCAGATTGCTTGAAGTACTCCGCATCTCGACTCATACGTTCACGCCATCTTTTTTCGCTCCTTTCGCTCTTCTACATCTGTGCCTTCCTCCGCTCGATCCAGATTTCGGCATCTACCCTCTCTTTTACGCGCTTCTTGATGGTCTTGGGATCGTTGCCTTGATGGATCGAGGGATCTTGTTCGCTAGGCATTGGCGATAGGTATTCGTTTCCACTTCCTCGCTCGCCGTGATGGTAGAGTGGAGGTGGAGTGTTGCTCTTGAAGAAGTTGAATAGACCCATGGTGTGCTATGCGTACTATGAGCAATGCTGGTTCTCAGAATTGACTCTGAGTTGCTGCGCTTTGCTTGTACGTTTCTCGGAAGTTTAGAACGCGGTATGAGAAGTTGTATCGCAGAAAACGTCGTGGCACTAGGAGGTTAGTATTGCTTTTATATCGAAAGGCTGTTGTGGCGGCGCAGTCTGGGAATATGGAAGTTGAGGATCACAGTATGCTGTTGATGCATGATGGAGACACGTCAGTTTCGTCACTCATCATCTGCACACACGCGGTCGTTTCTGTGATCATCTTTGTGATCATTGCCATGAAATTTGAACGCTGTCATAATATATACATGTTCACAAGCACGACTGGTGACAGCCAACCGCCTGTCAATAGCTATTCTGAGATGCCTCAAAAGAATGCTGTGATTCCCTCCTTCCTCCTCAGAGCAATGTGAAGGGAGATGTATACTGCGATACCAAGTCCCAGCATACCAGAAATGACGCCGAAGCCCATGAGGTACTTTGGCTTATCGTCAGCAGGGAAGAGATATGCGCCGTAGATCTGCGCAAGGTTACCCATCGCGTTGACAAGCGCAATCGCAATGGCCCTAACTTCCGGCTGCATGGATCCGAAAGTCGCACTAGCGAAAGATAGCGAAACGGCGTTGGAAGACCAGAGTCCAGCGGCCATGAGTACAAGCAGCGCGTATCGTGCCTTGAACTCGTAAACGAACAGTACGCAGATCGAAGTTATGAGTGCGAAACCGAGCCAGCCTGCGATGACGAGACCACGGTGGTTGGAGATGGCATCGGCGTAGTAGGTTGTGACTGCTGTGCAGACGAAGGCGACGGCGTAGATGGGGACGGTCATGTATTGAGCGGTGACTGTGTCGGTGTATCCGAGACCGGTCATGAGGGTTGGGTAGAAGTACGAGAGGGTGGAGGAGCCGACAATGACCTGACGTTTGTTAGTCGAATCTTTCATGGTTCGCAGGTTGTGACTTACCATGTAACCAAGGATGAAGGAGATAGTCCTCCAGTCGCAGATAGCCAGGCGGAAGGACTTACCCTTGCCCATTCTCTCATCGCCTTCGGTATGTGTTTGGACACCGCCCTCCTTGAGGCGTGCGATAGCGATAGAGCGCTCGCGGTCGGTGAGTCGCTTGGTGTTGGCGGGGAAATCCAGCAGGATGAAGTATGCGCAAATAGCCCAGACAATAGTCGCAGCTCCCTCGATGATGAAAAGCCATCGCCATCTATTACAGAGTTAGTTATGAGGTTTTGTCCAACATTTAGGGCTTGTTCCTTACCCACGAAGACCACCAGTACCCTCCATACCGCCAGTGATGGCACCTGCAAGAAGACCGCCAAATGCGCCACTGAGAATAGCCGCAGACATGTATACACCGAAGCGCTTCGACTGCTCATCTTTCTTGTACCAGGACGAGATAATGAGGAGGATACCCGGGGCGAAACCGGCTTCGAAAACACCAACGAGGATTCGGAGTGCGACAAGGTGCTTGAAATCGTGGATGACGGCCATGCAGCATGTCAATGCTCCCCAGATGATCATGATGGCAGGCAGGTAGACGGAAGGCTTGAGGCGGACCAACAGCATGTTGGATGGCGGCTCGAAGACGACGTAGGTAACGAAGAATACAACCAATGCGATGGAGTATTGCTCGGAGCTGAGGGAAAGGTCATCAGCCATACCGGCGATTTTCGCATTTCCAATGCTGGATCTTGTTAGCTATCGCTTCTACGTCACTTGAAATGCAACTTACTTCGTGCGATCCATGTACGATAGCAGATACATCAGCCAAATTGTGGGAAGCAGGAATAGGTCGATCTTGCGGACCAACTTGGCCTCCTCATCCTTCGTCCATGTGAAATCCTCAGTGACTTCGACATGCTTCGTGCTGTCCATCTCTTTGAAGTCGACTCGATCTTGAGAGTGGCGTGTCGACGACATGGTGTCCTGATCTGCGGTTTGACAGGTGCGACAGCGTTGTGACAGGAACGAAGCTGCAGTGGAAGGAACCGACTTGCAGTGTTGCGGGAACCGTTGCGGATATCTCCAGATGGGTGCGACACCCGTGTAGCTTTATAGAAGGAAGATACCTCACCTCCACAGGTTTTGATGATGTTGGCTCAAAACAGCTTGGACCTCCCCAGATTGTGTTCGGCCCTTTTCCCTACCCCAGGTGCCCAGGTCGCATACTAGGAGCCGAAAGCCCGCTACAGGCCCGCTACAGACCCGCCTGCACCGATAACTTGACGGTTACGATTGGTTGTGGAACACGACAGAACGTGTTCCATGCATGAACTCGCTGCGCGCCCGGCTATGTGCCTCGAGGCGAACTTTGTGCCACTAAGCGAAGGCAAAAGGTCGGAAGCTCACGTGTTCGTCGCGTCGGCGCGTATGCTCGCCACGAGGCCATCGCGCCTCCGAAGATGGTTTGAGCCGAGTCTCAACAACATCCCGGCCTTGTGGACCTGGTTCGCGGCGCTCTCACCCGTGGGGTGTATTTGGTACCGATCAACAGCTCTCGGTCGCCACATGCCTTTGTGGGGTACCTAAATGCGATGTACTTAAACATGCGGGGTGCCAGCGAAGTGGTGGTGGTAACTCGATTTTCCATTCTCTCGCGAGACCTGCCTCTCCAGATATCCCCAAACCTTCGCAGCCTACCCTTGTAGACCAATCGGAAATGTCTCCCTCTGCCATCACACCGCAATCTGACCAGACAGCACCTGCTGGTCAGGCCGCCAACGCCCAAGTCGAGCAAAGTGTCCCAAATCCCGTATACCTTACGACTGAGCCGAAGGAGGACTTTGACTGGAAGATAACTCTGAAGGGCAAAGTAGTCGCTATTACCGGCGCGAACAGAGGTCGGTGCATGTCGAATCTAGATCGCCGATAGATGCTGACATTTTAGGCATTGGACTTGGTCTCGCGACAGTATGCCTCGCAAATGAAGCCGCTGAGATCTACTCTTTGGACCTCTTCGAGCCCGGCGAGGAGTTCCAGGCACTTCAACAAGCAAACCCCAAGCGCGTACACTACCTGCACTGCGATGTCACCTCTGAGGAGAGCGTCATCAAAGCCATTGACGAAATCGTGGCACAATCGGGCCGCATTGACGGTATGATCGCCAACGCAGGAATGACCAAGCACCAGCCCGCACTCAACTTCGACCGCCCGCAGCTCGAGCAGCTTTTCAACCTCAACGTCTTTGGCGCATACTTTTGCGCGACGGCAGCCGCGAAAAAGTTCATCGAGCTTGGTATCAAGGGGTCCATTGTCTTCACAGCGTCCATGACGTCCTACCGGCCAAACAGGGCAGCGCCATCAGCGCCATACGGAGGAACCAAGGGCGCAGTCCGCAATATGGCACACACACTCGCGATGGAATGGGCGAAGCACGGCATCCGAGTCAACTCGATATCTCCGGGTTTTGTGCGCACGCAGATGACTTACTACGTTGAGCGGGCGCCCGACTGGAACTTGAAGATGCAGTACTATGGCGGCATGCCTAGGTTGGCCGACCCCCGCGAACTTGGCGGCGCGTATGTGTACCTGCTCTCAGACAGTGCCAGTTACACTACGGGTATTGATATTCCTGTTGCGGGCATTGTCGGCGCCTGGTAGAGGTTTTGGTTGCTTCTTCGTCACGCCATATGCATTGGGTGGAGTTCTTAACTGCTGGCTGGCTGGGATATATCTAGAGTCAATTCAACGCATTTTCTTCCAATTCTCATGCCCATTGAAAAGACGAAGTGATGTATACCGGTATTGATGCGGGTGTGGGAGTCGGTACTGATGATGTGGTGGTGCTGACTGAAAGGATGGAGCGATCCGCCTCAAACGGAAGGAACCCGGAACGCGCAACAACCACGACTGACTAAGCACGTCCTGGCATTGTACACAACCAGTCGTTATCATCAAAATACCTCCTTTCTGCATAAACGCAACTTCTTCACTTCTCACAAACAGACTTCAGGACTGTATCATGGCCATCAGGCCTCCCAACTTCTGCCGGTGGTGGACAGTGCTTTGGACTGGCGCGGGGTCCTAGAACTGTATCCGACGCGGGCCTTTTGCGAAATTGCCACAGTTTCCCAACCACCGTCTGATCGCCTTTCCTAGGTTCGCGAGATATCAACAACTGGGCTCCGCATGCGCTGTGTCATCCTGGACTAGTCTGAAGCCTGTCCCGTTGGTCAGAGACTCGTTCCCCACGGCAGGCCTAACCGCCGAAGCGGATCCTCGAGGGCCAAGCGAAGTTCCACCAGCATGCACAACATCATTCGTGATGCAAGCATCGTCAACAGGCAATCCCAAGCCGCGCAAACCCCGTCCCTCACGAGCGCGAGTAAGTTTGCCTATCTCCACTGCATGTGAGACCTTTACTGACTAGACGCGTCTCTTGCAGGGCTTACGTACGACAACTGGATGGTAAGCTGTTCCCCCAGCACGTGTTATCCCGTATCACCCCATGGTAAAGCTCGCTAGCCTGATCAGATCCAGCGTGCAAAGTACCTAGTTGATCACTAGCTAATACAGACAGCCTAACTTGTAGACGAAGGAGGGTGAAATGTGACGAGCTAAGACCGCGATGCGCAACATGCAGCAAATCCGACAGAGAGTGCTTATGGCCATCACCCAATGACCTTCCTGGAGGTGCAGCAAGCAATGCATCTGGCTCTGTACAGTCTGACACGTCGCCGGCTCAGGATGCCTCTTCTATTGCCACTACATCACCGGCGCCTGCCAGACGAGCGATCCCACCTGAGATTGATCCTCAGCTTTGGAACGCTTCTCCCGAGCTCCTGTTTGAATCGCCATCGACGGTCATCAACTCGTTACCTTCTCCCAATTCCGCACCTCTAGCTTACTACGACCTGCTTGCTGAAGATGCCATCAATAATATCGACAAGTACAATCTCAATGTGGACCTAGACAGGAACAATTTGTCCCGACAGCAAAGTCCAGCAACTGATGGAGCAAGCTCTGATCGACACCCGCTTTCATACGAACGAACGGAAGATGCCGACCCATCGGGACACGAGCCGTGGAACTGTATCGATGTCATACCCATGTCGGACGACGAGCTTGTGCTCTTCCAACACTACGTCAATGTAATTGGTCCCATTTTGGACCTGAACGACCCTTCTAAGCAGTTCACATACACTGTCCCTTCTCTAGCAGTCCACAATGTTGGCCTTTTGAAGTCTTTGCTCGCGGTGTCGGCGCGGCACATGGCACTTCTGAACGAGCCACAGCTTCGTCGGCTTAACATACATGATCCGGAACCAGGCGCTGAAGATGGCAGGACCAGACAACTCCATAGCCCATTAATTCAGGTAGCGACGCAGTACTACTATGAGACTCTGCATTACCTATCGAAGAATCTCTTCTATCCGTCCTACAATAAGTCTAGGGAGATTATATCAACCTCCATCCTCATCAGCACATATGAGATGTGGGACTCTGAAGGCCAGTACAGTAATGGAGCCTGGGAGAGACATCTTCGTGGCATATTTTGGATACAACGGAGTCAGAACAACAACGGAGAGTCTCCGGATCCGCTCCGGAGGGCTGCCTGGTGGCAATGGATACGTCAAGATACCTGGGTTGCATTCCGCGAAGGACGACGGGTTCTCACTATCTGGCGACCTACCAAGCGTTTGATGGATCTCACCCCGGATGAACTTGCGTTACGAATCGTGTACATATGTGGAAGATGTGTGGACTTTGCAGCAAACGAAAAGAAGTACGATCTGAACACCCGCATCGAGCAAGCTGGAAAGCTCCTACAAGCGCTAGAGGACTGGCATGCGGCGCTTCCGATGTCCTTTCAACCCATCCATCGCGGCCCTCCACCTGGACCTGGCGCTCTGTTCACACCCATCTGGATCCATCCTCCTTCGTATGCAGCTGCCATGCAAACCTTTCACTTTGCACGAATCATCGTTCTCATCAATCAGCCATCGATGGGAGGCGTGGACGAATTTAGAATTCGACAGCGCACTCTGGACGAAAGTGTGGACATGATCTGCGGCATCGCCATAACGCATCAAGGTAGAGATATCGCGAGCGCCATGATCAACGTCAAGTCTATCTATGCTGGTAAGGTCCTTCACACACGTACCATCCAAAACAATGCTTACAGTCTCTAGCTGGTCTATGCATTCAGAACCCTGTCAAACAAACCGCTATCTTGCATCTTCTTGAGCAAACACTTGACATCACCAAATTTCCACCTAAGACATTACTCACGGATCTTACCAGCTATTGGCGAGCCGAATCATAACCTTCCATTATCGTGCCGAACGCAACTGAAGTCCGATCTTGCTCCATGAGTGCATGTCAATTTCGTCATCGCGGCAATGCGGCATGTGTCGGACCGCAAGAGAACAGACTTTCAGCCGCATGTTCAGCCGCACTTGCCTTGACTCCACTGCGATGCAGGCCTGGTTCCGATGAGTTGGTCGCATGACTCGTATCCGGGCCAAGATCAGGAAAGCATGACAAGGTCGGAGTGTCACGTTGCGAGGCAGAAGTCGGAGGTTGTAGCGGAGCAGGCTCTTATTCAGGTTCGCCTTCCCCACAGACCCCACACGGAGGTGTATGTTCGCCGTCGTGCAATTCCCTGCAGAGATGGAGTAGAAGCGGGGTACGTCTTGGAGGGCCGATCGCCTCTCTGGGATGTTTGTGCCTCGTAACGAGGCACATCGGCTAAGGCCCGTCGGGCGGTTTAATCGTGCCCGCCGTGTCGCTCGCAACTCCGTCAAGGCCATCCAACCTGCTCGCGACGAGCACCAATGATAGCTCTCAAACTCCGCGGCTTTCCCGAATCAATAAGCCGCAGGGACATGATAATAGCTTCAATTCCGAGACGGTTCCGACATAGTGAATTGAATGCGCTCAAATCCTCCCAACACTACATAACAATACAGTAGAACATC